CTTCTGGCCTGAGCGCACGGAGGGGACGGGAGGCGGGGGCCCCCGAAAGCCGCAGGTCGCCGTGCACGAGGAGCGGGACTCGAGGGACACGGGCTCTGGCCTTTGGCCTTGGCATCGCTCGGACGTGTGCATGTTTCCTTCGGACGTCTGGGCAACCCTAAACCCTAAACCCTAAACCCTAAATCGGCGAGGACCACCGAGAGGCATCCTGGACCTCTGGCGAAAAGACCACGCACGGCACCGAAAAAAAAAAAAAAACACCGGGAAGGGACGGCCGAGCGATGGCCGGTGGCTGTCTCTGGCCTCCGGCCCACAGGGGCCCCTCACGCCGGCCCCAGGAGCTGTCGGCAGAAACGACCCGGGGTGGAGAGAGAGATTTTCCCCCGGGAGACCCCTGGGGGGGCCTGGCACCTCTGCGATACAGTTCCAGAGACGGCTACGAGCCACGGCAGTCGAAGCTGTCAGATCTGGCCACAGTGCGTGGCACTACGTTTTCAGCGTGCCGAGCCGCGCTCCGCAATTACCAATCGTGCGCGTTCCAGTCTGAGGGTTTGTCGCAGAAACGCGCCTGCCCCAGGGTCCGCTTCCCCTGCGGCGCAGGCCTGGCCCGAAGCAGGCGAGCACGGACGCGTGACACAGCCGGCCCACCCTCGCCCGGTCGGCGACGAGCGGGAGCAGCAATGGGCATCCACCGTTTGGGGGGCGCATCGCAGTCCACGCCGCGCCGGCGGCGTCCCCGTCGTCGACCCGCCCCCGGCGGCATCTCCCACCCGGCCAGCAGCGCGCTCGAGGGGGCGGCAGGAGGCGCCCTGGAGCAGGAGTGCGGGAGGCGAGCCTCGCAGGGCGGCAGGGTCCGACGAGCGCTGTGTCCCGCTCCGAGGGCCCCGGGGGCCAGCAGCGGGGGCGCCTCGCTGCCTTTTCCGCTGGCCATTCCGCCCCTGGCCCGCCGCCGCCTTGCTTCTGCTGGCCTCCGCCGAACTCGAGGCGCAGGGGCATCGGCAGGGGGGGATATCTGTCAACACATTTTTCACTAATTATGATTCTTTGTGGGCAAGCTGTGAAAAGTAGCACGAGGACACTAAACGCTCGGAAACGTTCGCGATCGGAAGCTTCAGGCACGAAGCGCGAGATAAAGGAGTGGAGGGGTGCCGAAGGCAGGATCGAAGAGGCAGACTCGCGCGGAAGAGCGAGATCGAGCTCGCGGGCGCGTTGAGATCGGAGATCTTCCGCGAGGATATCCACTCGGGGGGGAACGCAGCAGCCCCCGAACTCCCATTCATCGCACTCATCGCCAATGGGGACCTGATAGCCCACCCCATCCAGGAACCTGCGGTTTCGCCATTGGGTGCTTATCTCCGATCCATCGATGATGCATCTCAGGAGGGGACAAAACACACAGACACTATTTATCGTCGATCCCCAGGAACAGATGGGAAGATATGGGAAGTGTGGGGGGCAGACAAAAGCCCAGAGCATACGGGAAAACATGGGGACTCCTGGGGTTTGTGTATTTCTTAGTTTGCCCCAGGGCCCCTTTAGCATCGCCGATCCAAGTCGTGTGTCACCCCCTTGAGTTGACCCCCCGCCATATCGCTCCCCCTCAGATACGCGCAGAAGGCGCGATCTGCGGCGCCGGGTCTGCCCGTGCGCCTGGCCATGTCACCCCCAGGTGCGCAGAGGTGAGCGCGCTCCGCGCATTGCAGCCTGCGTGGGAGAGGCGCCCCCTCTCCAGGGCTGCATCGCGGGCGCGCACTGCGGGGCGCGATGCGCGAGGTGAGGCTCGAGTCGGGCCCGTCCCTCTGCAGGAGGAAAGTTCGAAAGTTGTTAAACCATAGTCGGGGGACGATGTTTCGATCATTGTTTGACTAGTTCTGAGCACTGTTTAGGCGAGTCGTATTTGTTTGACGCATCGATCGGACAAACTAGGCAATCGACCGGACAACAATGCTCGATGCTCGGCAATTGATTGTCGATTCCCTCGGGTAGTCCGATGCATCAACATACTAGCACTAGTTCTCGATTGTTTCGACGCGAGGGGACGAGTATGTGTCCCCTCGCGTCCAACATCCGCCTGTGGGAGGCCATGCCCCGACCTGAGGTTCCGTGGCTTTCCCCGCTCCCCAGAACCCCGACGTCGTGCTTCTGCTGTGCGTATCGCGTGGGCTCCACGCAGGAGGGGAGAGAGCACACAGGCACAATGGATCGCCGATTCCCCAGAACATGTGGGAGAGTATGGGAAGTGGGGGGGGGAAGACAGAAACCCAGAAGACATGGTAAGATATCGGGAATCCTGTCATTCGTGTGCATTTATTTGTGTGTCCCTGGGCCCCTTCATCCATGGCCTGGACCCCCTCCCCCCCCCCCCCCCCCGTGGCCCGCCTTCTCGGCCGGGGTCGGTCTCTGAGCGTCCCTGGGCGCGGTGAGGACCCCGGGTGCCCGCAGGCTGGCAGCAGCCATCGGCGTTTTTTTTTTTTTTTTTTTTTTTTGTTGTTTTGTTTCCTTTTTGTGATGTACGTTTATATATAGATACATATATACACATATGTATACACATTTGTTTATAAACAATTCAATCATCATGGCATCATGATTATTATTATTATTGTTCTATGTATTCTTATTGTTCCCTACCTAGGCTCTGCCTAGAAGGGTTCTTACTCGGTTTGCTTAAAGCAGTGCAACTCGCCCCGGGTGGTTCCTCCGGCATCCGCCCCGCGGTTCCCCCAGTGACGTTCCCTTAGCCTAACCCAGTTTAGCTAAGCTTAGCTTAGCTGAGCTGAGCTTATCTCATCATAGTTTAGCTTAGCTTTGCCTAGCCTAGCTTAGCTTAACTTAGCTTAGCTTAACTTAGCTTATCTCATCTTAGCTTAGCTTAGCTTTGCTTAGTTTAGCTTAGCTTAGCTTGGCTTAGCTTAGCCTAGCCTAGCGTAGCTTATCTTTGCACAGCTTTGCTTACCTTAGCTCAGCTTTGAGCAGTGCAGCATAGCGCAGCGCAGCATTAGTACAGCATAGCATAGCATAGCACAGCCAAGCATAGCATAGCATAGCATGGCATGGCATGACACAGCGTAGCATAGCATAGCTCAGCATATCATAACATAGCATAGCATATCGTACCATAGCACAGCGCAGCATAGCATAACATAGCGCATCATAGCATAGCATAGCATAGCGCAGCATAGCATAGCATAGCATAGCATGTCATAACATAGCATACCATTGCTTAGCATATGGCAGCGCAGCATAGCATCGCATAGCATAGCACAGCACATCACATCATGTCATAGCATAGCATACCATATCATAGCATAGCGCAGCATATCATAGCATAGTATAGCATAGCGTAGGTGTATATGTTGATGACGATGTAGATGCAGATGTAGGTGTAGATGTAGGTGTAGATGTAGATGTAGATGTGAGTCTCGCTGTTGATGCTGATGTAGATGTAGATGTAGATGCAGGTGTAGATGCACATGTAGCTGTCGGTGTAGATGTAGAGGTTGCTTTCCTAAATGCTCCAACTCCTAGGTAGGGTCGCACGGGGATAACTTATTATTATTTGGTATCAATATTAATGCCTTATTAGTCTTGTTATTTTCCCTCTCTTCACGACGAGGAGAATTGGGGGTCGTCCTCCTTCCTCGCCCACCATCACGCATCCTCGCCAATACAGTGGAGACCCATGCCAAGAAACACCCTGCCTGCCTCCAGGGTGCCCTGGGCTTCTTGGGTTTCGATGGTTTTGCGACGGAAAGCGTGACGTTCCCACACCAAACATCGATGGACGTCCTGGGGTCTCAGGGTTGGGTTTCTTGTGGAAGGTTTCTTGTGGTCGGGCCCCTATTGTAAATTGGATCGGATGGTCGCGCCGTATCGCCGATGCATCGGCGATGCGGCTGGATGCGTCTCGATGCGGAGCTCGATCTTCTCCACGCCGACGTCGCCGATGCACCGCCGACGTGGTCGATGCGTTGCCGACGCCTCGCGATCCTCCGGTTCCATCTGCTCCGGCCCCATCCGGGGGGACCTCCAGACCCAGACCCCCGACGACACGACTGTTTCATCACGTCGACCCCCAGAGGTCTCGAGCCATTCCCCAGGACCAGCTTTTCATGCTGAGTCGTTGTTTGACGGCCCCGACGCCCGGGCAAGGGCCCCCCAAGTCGACTATACGTAAGAGTGATCCTTCGCTGGAGTGACCTTTGGTGCGGGCTCAGCGGGGTCCCCCCGGTCGCTGAGCGCGATGCGATAGCGGCTGCTTGCGCGCTTAGATTTGGCTACCTTGCGCCCACTCCTGTCTTCTTGCCTAGGGTCACTCTTGCGTGTAGCCGACCAAGGGCCGAAAATAGCGAATAATTGCCCATCGTGATGTTTTCATTCCCCAAGTCTGGGGAGGAGGTTTTTGTCCTCTCGTCGCGCCCTAGGAGGGGAGGGTGTTCCAGGCCGCCTGCAGGTTCGCGAAGACGATCGCGTTTCGCGCGTCGAGGTCTGTTCAGGAGGATCGATGAGCGAGGAGGAGGATGAGGATCGAGCAGGAGGATCGAGGATCGAGGAGGAGGAGGAGGAGGAGGAGGAGGAGGAGGAGGAGAGAGAGGAGAGGAGGAGAGGCAAAGGAGGAGAGGAGGAGTTGGGAGGAGGGGGTGGGAGGAGGAGGAGGGGGAGGAGGGTGGAGGGAGGAGGAGGAGAGAGGAGAGGGACGAGGAGGAGCGAGGAAGGAGGAGGAGGAGGAGGAGGGAGGAGGCCGGGGAGAAGGAGGAGGAGCGAGGAGGAGAGGAGGAAGGAGGAGAGAGGAGCGAGGAGAGGAGGCGAGGAGGAGGAGGAGGAGGAGAGAGCGAGGAGAGAGGAGGAGCCGAGGGGGATGAGGAGGACGGAGGAGGATGAGGAGGATGACGAGGAGGAGGGGAGGAGGAAGGGGGAGGAGGGAGGAGGAGCCCCGACCTTGGCTCCTGGCCTGCCGGAGCCGCCCAGCGGGGGCAAGGCGCGCGCGCGCGCCTTCCGAGGCCCTCGCCGGCGCCCGCGCAGGCGGCCGCGGCGGGGGCAGGCCCCTGCCGCGAGGGGGTGGCCTTCCCTGCAGTTGTCCCCTCTCGCCCATCCCACGGGGGGGGGCGAGGAGGGCCTTCTCCTCGCTCGCTCCTCCTCGCGCCTCCTCCTCCTCCTCCTCCTTCTCCTTCCTCCTCGCTCCCCTCCTCCTCCTCCTTTGCTCCTTCCTCCTCGCTCCCTACTCCTCATCCTCCTCCTCCTCATCCTCCTCCTCCTCCTCCTGCCCTCCCCCTCTTCCTCCTCGTCCTCCTCCCTCTCCTCCTCCTCCCCCCTCTTCCCTCCTCAGTCCTCCTCCTTCTCAGCTCCTCCTCCCCTTCCTCCTCCCTCCTCCTCCTCCTCCTCGCTTCTCCTCCTCCTCCTCTCCCTCCTCCTCCCTCCTCCCTCCTCGCTTCTCTCCTCCTCCTCCTCCTCCTCCTCCTCCTCCTCCTCCTCCTCCTCCTTCACTCTCCGCCGCCATTCCCCACGGGGTGGGGGGGCGAGGTGGGTTTCAGAAAGAGCGGGGGATGAACCCAGACCGCTGGGCGGAGTTTCACCATCTTCGGGATTGGGGGGCCCTCGCTGGGCCTCGGGGCCGTCAAAAACCGGCTCAGGATGAAAAGCTGGTCCCAGGGAAGGGGTCCAGACCTTTGGGGGCCGACGCCGTGCAGAAATCACAACGTTGGGGGTCTGGGAGTGAGGTGGGCGTCAGGACGAGCGGGAGGTGAATGGGGGGACCTCCGGCCCAGGGCCACCGCGCGAGACATGCTCGCGTGCTGGCCTCAGGGCCGTTGAGGCTCGAGCGGCCGCGCGTATGAGGAGTGGCCTTTCGCCGCAGCGGTGCGTGGTGCGGGCGCACGCACGGGTCCAGCCTGCACTGGACGGCGCGCTTGGACTGCTGGGACTTCGCTCGGGAGCTCCCGAGCGAAGTGAACCCCACCCTCCCCCTCCGAAATGGTGGGGGGTAGGGGTAGGGTTCGCATGTGGCCTCCTACAGCTGCTTGCGCGCCCAGGTTTGGTCCCCCCGCGGCCCCCCAAAAAGTCGCGCACCAAAGGTCACTCTTACCCAGGGTCACTCTTGCGTATAGCCGAGTCATGGCCCGAAGTCCAGGCTTGCTCGCGTCTTGGCAAAGTTCACGACGGGAAGCTCTTGGGAAAAAGCCGGCCCTGGGGAAAGGGTCGGGATTTCTGCTCTGCGCGAGCGAAATGGGTACGGAAAGAATGGGCACAATGCCCAACAGCAGTTCCTGTTCATTTTGAACAGGACTCGCTGTCCGCGCCGCCGCGGCCTGTGTCCATTTGAGACAGAAGGCCGCCTGCCCAACAGCGGCCGCTGTTGGTTTGGGACAACATTTGTTGTTGGGTATTGTACCCATTCTTTCGGTACCCATTTCGGGCGTCCAGATCTGCGGAGCATGCGGTGAAAAATCAAGACGTCGGATTTCAGGGTTCAGAGGTCGGAGGAGGGCTAGTCGACACGAGCAGGTTCGCGTGCGATTCCTCCTCGCCCCCGGCCCCCGGGCTTTCCCAGACGACATGGATCCGCTCAGGAAAGGAGGGGAACTCGAGGCTACACCAGGCGCCCACCCCGCTCGAGGAGGGACGCCCCCACTGTACATTCCCGAGCTAGGGCCTCACAGGTTTGCGGTCCAGCCGGAAACCCCAAAAAGTCAGGGATCGGGATCGCCGGGCTCTCCGCTGCATGTCTCGGTGGCAACGTCCAGGGGGATCTGATCAGGGGCGTTGACGAGGGCGGGGCGGGTTTTTCTGCCAGTTTTCAGCTTCTGGGTGCTCTCGCCGAGGCCTCGGGACCGCCAAAGAACGGCTCGGGATGAGGCGCCGGTCCCGGGGAAGGGGCTCAGACCTCCAAAGATCCAGGGTGGACCACGTATCGGGTCGGGCGAGGTATCAGGGGCAACGTCTTGGGGGGATGCAGGCTACAGGCTCAGGAGCCCGATAGCCCGCCGCCCAGCGACGTCCCGATTTGCAATCGGGCGCCCATCGCCGATCGATCGGCGATGCACGGCCTGTTCCAGCTCAAGGTTTGCCCCCTATGAGATTGCCCTCCCCCTTCTCCTGCTCCCCCTCCTCCACCTCCCCTCCTCCTCCTCCTCCTCCTCCTCCTCCTCCTCCTCCTCCTCCTCCTCCGCCTCCTCCTCCTCCTCCTCCTCCTCCTCCTCCTCCTCCTCCTCTTGCTGCTCCTCGCTCCTCCTCGCTCCTCCTCCTCCTCCTCGATGGTTGCCCCCAGCCGCCCCCCCTCACAAGGAGGTCTCCCAGAGCGACACCCCATGGTCGAAAGGCAGGACCCAGACGGACGTTTGTCGAGGAATGGCTGCAGGCATCGTCCCCGCAAGACGGCAGCCAGTGGTTAGCACTCCAGGTCGACCGGCTGTCCCCTGCCGGAGGGTCCTCGGGCGGGCGGGGAGCTGCTCGGGCGCTTCGGGGGAGCCGCACGCCACGTCCCTCGCGCGAAGCCCTCGGGGCCCAGAGGTTGCCGACGTCGTGATTTTTTCCATGCGCGGTCCTCGGAAGTCTCGGCCCATTCCCCAGGGCCGGTGTTTCATCCTCGGCCGTTTTTTGACGGTCCGGGGGCCCCGCGAGGGCCCCTGGAGGCCGACGTTGGGAAGAGAAACCTCCGTCTCGTGGTTTCAATGCTCTGGATCTCTGGGGAGAGTGAACCTCTCGGCGATGGCCTCGCTCCCCGGGCGGGGATCTTCCCATGCCCACCGCCAGGGAGATCCCTCTTCGAGCACCCCGCGGCATGCGGTGGCTAGATGGGTGTGTCCAGGCCCCCCTGGGGTCGACCTGTGTCCACATCCATCGCCCGGTGCGGCCCCGGGGGGGGTCGATTGCCCAGGCGGTGGATCCGGAGAAATCTCCGCCTCGCACTCGTTTTCAGGATTTGGCAGCGCCGCGTGTCGGAACTGGGAGAGAGAGGGAGAGAGAGAGAGAGAGAGGGAGGGAGACAGAACGAAAGAAAGAGAGAGAGAGAGAGATAGAGAGAGAGAGAGAGCGAGAGAGAGAGAGAGGGATAGAGGGAGAGAGAAACAGAGAGAGAGAGAGAGGGAGAGAGAAAGAGAGAGAGAGAGAGAGGAACAGAGAGAGAGAGAGAGAGATGAAGAGGAATCATATTCATGTTGAAAGAGGTATCTAGGGACTGGACGACTACTCGTCGTTCGTGATAGGAGGGGAGGGGGTACAAACTCGGAGCAGGGGAGATACGGACGTATGTTGCGAAGGGAGAAAACCAGGCGGGGAGCACATGGAGAAGAAAGAGAGAGAGAGAGAGAGAACAAAAAATAGAAAAGGATCATGAGGGAGAGTGAGAGCGAGAGCGGGCCCCCTCTTTCCTTCCTCTGCCTTCTCCCCTGCCCATCTCGCTGCCCGGGCGCGTGTGAACGAGGTCGCGCTGCCCCTGCTTCGATGGCATCGGAGGCGGATAGACCTCCCACCCTGACACGCCGATTTTCAGGAATCGGCCGTGTTCGGTTCGCGAGAGAGGGCGTCGCGGCCGCCGCTCTTGCGGGTTCCGGTCCGTCGGTTTCCGCCCCAGGCCGTTTTCACTGAGGGGAGGCTTGCTAAAGGGAGGTTGGCCCACCGCCGCAGGCGGCGCTCCCGTGGGCTCGAGCGGGGGCCCCACGGGCAGAGGCCTCTGCGCGAGCGGCCCACCTCGGCAGCCCGAGCGCCTCCTCGGGGGGCGCTTGCCGGCGGTGCGCTCGCCGGCGCCGGCCGCGCCAGAAGAGCTCGGCATCGTCCCAGACTCGGGGAAGCGTAGGGCTCGAGTAGTTAAGCCGGAGCTCGGGCTTGCCGACTTTTCTCGACGAGCGCGTCCTGGATTTTGACGGCTCCGTGTTCGTGGGGTGTCTGCAGTTCTGCCCACGCCCGATATTGGAGGGATGTTCAAACAAAGTCAGACAATAGTCGGGGGGCGATGTTTCGATGATCTTGGAGTGTGTGTTTTTAAGATTGATTGACTGATTTCCATTTCTCGTGCGAAATCACGCAACACTGGATCATTTGGACGTCAATGTTTGTGCACTCCTGCAAAAATCATTCATTTTTGCGCATCCTGGATCATCCGACGAAACAAAAAAAAAAAAAGCACGCACGAAGCCAAAGACACGCACAGGGGAGTGGGCGCACGAGCGAGGGCGAGGAGGTGGCTGGCAGCGTGCTGGCGGTGCGTTCTCGGCTCCCCATCTAGGGGGGTAAATCGGCCATTTGGGCCCAGGCCACGCCCCTGGAGATGGGGATCGGCGGAACGATACTCAATAGTTGCTCGGGGCCGCACATATGGGCGCAGTCTCGCCCTCCGAGTCGGTTCGCTATCTCGCCCGCGGGCGCTGCTGGTGGGAAGTGCCCGCGCCGCGATCTCGGCAGGAGTGCAGCCACGCGGTTGCGGCGGGAGGTGCCCGTGGCAGGACAGCCTTTGTCCGCTGGACAGCTATGTCGCGCGCCATGGGCTCGAGCTTGCGGCGGCCCCAAGATTACGGCATCAACGCTGTAAACGGCCTTCCGGTGGGTGAAGTGGCGGTCCACAAATCGTATCGACCGATCACAGCATGGTGACGGAGCAAGGTGCTTCCCATAATCGTGTTGGCTTCACGGCCCAAGCCCAGCCAGTCTGCGCAGCAGCCAGCCCGGCTTGTCGGGTCCTGCCCCACGAGTCGGCCTGGCGCCTCGAGCTGCTCTCAAAGCCGACCCCCCGTCTGATGCACGGGTGCAGTTGAGTGGGCGATTGCTTTATCCACTCCTCGCCGCTGGCTTGCGCTAGCGACGACGGTGGCGACGATGGCGGCAACGATGGCGGCACTGATGGCGGCACGGGCGGCGTCGGCGACGACGTCCGCAACGGCGACGCCGATGTCGTCGGCGTCGGCGCTGATGTCGGCCTGCATTGGGCAGTAGGAGGAGGAGGAGGAGGAGGAGGAGGAGAGGAGGAGGAGGAGGAGGAGGAGGTAAGGAGGAGGAGGAGGAGGAGGAGGGGGAGGGAGGAGGCGGAGACCGGAGGAGGAGGACGGACGGACGGGGGAGGCTCCAGCGTCGACTTCTCCCGCTGCGCCAAGAAGCAGAAGGTGGACTGCAGGGAGGCCAAGTGCTGCGCCGATCCTGGCTTCCAGTGCCGCCCCCGGCTGCACTGCTCGCCCTCCCCTGCTGTACGCGGGCGAGGGCGAGGAGGGGGGAGGCGGGGCGGGGCGCGAGGGGCGACGAAGAGGGGGGAGGAGCGAAGGATCTGCCGAGGCGTGCGCGCTGCCTCCTCCTCCGCTGGCTCCTCCCCGCCTTCCTCGAGCCCCGAGCCGCGACGACGACGAGGAGGACGAGGGGGGAAGGGGGCGGGCGCACGGAGGGGCGGGGGACGCGGACGAGGGGGACGACGAGGAGGGGGGGGGGCAGGAGGAGGTCGCTCGGGGCCAGCGCTCGTCCGCTCCGCCCGTGCCGGCGACCAGGCCGGCGCGCGCCCACCCGTGCACAGCTCGCGGTCCTCCAGCTCTTCCTCCTCCTCCTCCTCCTCCTCCACCCTCTCCTCCTCCGCCTCCTCCTCTTCCCCATCCTCCCCCGGGCCGTGGGTGATCCCACAGCGTCCCCAGCTCCCCGCGCCGCCGTGTCGCCTCCATGGAGCCCCCCTGCATGGGCCCCGCGGTGGGCCCAGGTCCTCGATCTTTGGCCTCCGGGCCCGTTATCGAGCTCGGGGGCAGTCAGAAGGTTCTGACGAGCTGATTTGCTAACCCTCCCTTTCATGCGCCATCTCTTTCGTCCGACCCGCGGCTCCTCACTCCTGCCTTCCTACTTCCTCCGTTCTCGAGGGGGGTGGATGGGGAGGAGGAGGAGGAGGAGGAGGAGGAGGAGGAGGAGGAGGAGGAGGAGGAGGAGGAGGAGAGGGACGAGGAGGAGGAGGAGGAGGAGGAGGAGGAGGAGGAAGAGCAAGAGCAGGAGGGGGAGGAGGAGGAAGAGAAGGAGGAAGAAGAGGAGGAGGAGGAGGAGGAGCAGGAGGAAGAGGAGGAGAAGGACATCCTGCGGATGGGAGGAGGGGAGGGGGAGAAGAGGATCCGGAGGAGGGCCAGAGTAGACCAACGATGCGTCAGCGATCCAGCAATATACCCTTCTGTTCCGAGTCCCCTTCTTATGTCCCGACATGTTTTCCCTTTTCGCTGAAACATGCGCGCACGTTGAAAGACGGGCACCGTTGGGCCTGCCAGCTTGGCGAGGGCCCCGCTCAGAACAGGAACTGCCCAGCACCAGCATCTCTCTGTCGCATGATGGCATCGCGACGACGATGACGATGACGATAACGGCAATGATGACGACGACGATGACGACGATGACATCGCGAACAAAGTACGGTCATATATAGTTCAACGATGTTTCCAGCGGGATTCTTCTTTCGAGGAACGCTTGCAATGGTGATCGTTTGTTTCGAGAATGTCTCGAGCGACAGCTCTACTGTACGGAGGAGGAGGCGGAGGCGGATGGAGCGGAGGAGCGAAGGAGGGAGGGAGATGGCGGAGGAGAAGGATCATGAGGAGGAGGAGGAGGAGGAGGAGGAGGAGGAGGAGGAGGAGGAGGAGGAGGTGTCTGGCTGGGTTGAACGATCTTGCGCGTGCAAGTCGCGGCGTCTCCCTATCCCCCCCTCTCCCTCCCCCATCCTCTCCTCTCCTCTCCTCTCCCTCTCCTCTCCCTCCCCTCTCCTCTCCTCTCCTCTCCTCTCCTCTCCTCTCAGGGGCATGGCTCGGGGGGGATCGGCTAAAGGGGGGCACATCGACCCCGGACCCTCATCGCCCACTGATCTTCGACAGCGGCCCGATCGCCCACCCCGCCCAGGAACCCGCGCTCTCGCTATCAGGGGCCCGTCGCCGAGCCCATACCGGCGATGCATCGCCGATTCGAGCTCGCCGGTTCCGCCCCTGAGCCTTCCTGCTCCCCCACGTTGCTTGCTTGCTGCCCCCTTCTTTGCCTGCTCTGTGCGTGCTTTTGGTGCCCCCTCGCGCCCGGTTTTGCGTACTCGCCGTTCGCTGGCTCGCTTGCTGGGGGAGGAGGAGGATCGCTGGAGCGAAGCCGGATGCTGCCGGGGGATGTGTGCGGCTGCTCTCCGTCCGGGCGACGAAGATGGAGGCCCTCGGGGGCGGCCTCGGGGGATCGCTGGAGCTAAGTGGAGTGTTCCCCCGACCGAGGCTCTGGCCAGAGCGGACCCGCGCGGGAGGTCGGCCCAGGGCCCCCCCCCCCGCCTATTGCCCCCCCCCCCCCCCCCCAGTCTATTCTCCAGCGCCTTTCCCTTCTGGGGCGCGCGCCCCGGCCACGGGGCGTCGCCAGGTCTCGACAGGGAGGAGGGAGGAGGAGGAGTAGGAGGAGGAGGAGGAGGAGGCGGAGGAGAGGAGGAGGAGGAGGAGGAGGAGGAGGAGGAAGAGGAGTGAGTAGGAGAAGGATACGTACGGAGGAGGAGGAAGAGGAGGTGGAGGAGGAGGAGGAGGGGCTTTTGATGCGTGTGTTTTTCCACCTCGTGCACGTCGTTGCTATTTCGACTGACTTCCGCACTCTTCTCGTCATCAGCCACTTCGCGTGCGCATGCGATTATGGAACCAGGAGGGCATGAGGAGGCGGAGGAGGTGTAGGGCGGGCTTGTGATGCGCCTGTTTTCTCCCGTATCCTAAGATGGGGTTATTGTTATTACTTGGACGCTTCCTACTCCTCATTCCTCTTTTTCTCCTCCTCCTCCTCCTCCTCCTCCTCCTCCTCGTACCTAGACTTACTCAAACACAGACTTACTCACACACAAACTTACTCATACCCAGACCTGATCACATTAACTCACTCATACTCAGACCTACTCATACTCAGACCTACTCATACACAGACTTACTCATGCTGAGACTCACTCATACCCAGACTTACTCATACTCAGACCTTTTCATTGTCTGACTTGTTCAGCACACAGCAGATTGTGGGGATGTCTCAGGCGGGGCGCTGGCTTCAGCACCCTCAAGGGGAGCCGCCAAGGGGTATGACACGGTCCCGTTCGCGGCCGTTTTGTGGGGATGTCTCCAGCGGTGTGCTTGTTTTATGTCTCAACATCCTTCGCTTGGAGAGCAGATTGTGAGGATGTCTCAGGCGGGGCGCCCGTTTCAGCACCCCTAAGGGGAGCCGCCGAGGGGTATGACACGGTCCCGTTCGCGGCCGTTGTGTGGGGATGTCTCCAGCGGTGTGTTTGTTTTCTGTCTCAACATCCTTCGCTTGGAGAGCAGATTGTGAGGATGTCTCAGGCGGAGCGCTGGTTTCAGCTACCTAAGGGGAGCCCCCAAGGGTGCTTTCATGGCTCCGTTCGCGGCCGTTTTGTTGGGATGTCTCCAGCGGTTTGCCTGTTTATTGCTTTTGCGTTGTGTCCCGAGTGGCTCTCCCCGTTGCGTACGGCGGTCAAGGAGGAGTGACCAGCTGTTGCTGGCGCAGAGCTTGTGTCACCGTGGGATGTTGCTTTCTCTCTCCGTGGTGCTTTCCAATCTTGTCGTCGTCAGCGGGAGAGGGAACTTGAGAAGGTTCAGTATCCCGCGTGCGTTTTGGACTGGGGAGGGAATTTGAAAAAGGTTCACTCTCTAGCTGCGGGAGAGGGAACTTGAAAAGGTTCACTTTCCTGCTTGTGGTCGAACTGGAGAGGGCACTGAAAAAAAGGTTCACTCTCCAGGCGGGGACAGGAAACTTGAAAAGGTTCACTCCCCCTCGCGCGATCGGACTGAAGGAGGAATCTGCTTAGGTTCACCCTTCAGCCGCGGGAAATGGAACTTGCAACGGTTCACTTCCCCGCATGCGATCGAACTGGGGAGGGAACTTGAAAAGGTTCACTCTCCAGGCGGGGGGAGAGGGAACTTGCAAAGGTTTACTCTCCCTCTTGTGGTCGGACTGAAGGGGGAACTTGAAAAAGGTTGACCCTTCAGCCGCGGGAAAGGGAACTTGCAAAGGTTCACTTTCTGCCAGGTGCGGACGGCACTCCGCGTGAATTCTTCGTTGGGTTCTTCTACTAGGTAGCCCCATCTTGGTGTGGACGGCGCACGCGAACGACCTCTGCCACGGTGCTTGCGGCGCAGTGCCAATGAATTCTTTGCTTTGGCAAAAAAAGATGCGTTGGGAAATGCTTGCGGATGAGCATATACATGTGTTGGATGTGCAGCGAGCTGCGCGCGCGTGTGCTTGTCGCTCACGTAGACGCGCTCGTATAACAAAACTAGCATATACATATGATCACCCTAACACTAGCGTGCACTATGAGATGCACATATGGCTCATATGGCTAGACTTATGTTTGAATCTTCCAGGCACAATATCACCTTTAAAACAGAATGCACATATGTGGAGCCCCACGCAGTGAGTCATGTCCACCTCGTGCAAGGCGTTGCGATTTTGACTGGCTTCCGTATTATTCTCGTCGTTAGCCACTTCGCGCGTTCATGCGATGATGGAACCAGGAGGACATGAGAAAGAGGAGGAGGAGGAGGAGGACGAGGAGGAGGAGGAGAAGCGAGTACGAGAAGGATACGCACGGAGGTGGAGGAAAAGGAGGAAGAGGAGAAGGAGGAGGAGGAGGAGGAGGGTTTTTTGTTGCGCATGTTCAGTACCTAGGCTTTGCCTAGAAGGGTTTTCGCTCTCTGGGCATAAAGGGGCCGGGCAGTGGAAAGCGCTCCGGGCGGTTCCCCCAGTACCCGCCCCGCGGTTCCCCCAGTCACGTCCCCTCAGCTCAGCGTTGCTTATTCCATCTCAGCTTAGCTTATTTCATACTAGCTTAGCTTAGCTTCATCTTAGCTCAGGTTTATCTTAGCTTAGCTTACCTTCATCTTAGCTTCGCTGAGATTTAGCATAGCAGAGCACATCGTAGCATAGCATAGCGTAGCATAGCATAGCGCAGCACAGCATATCACAGCATAGCCCAGCATAGCATCGCATAGCGCAACATAGCATAACATAGCATAGCATAGCATAGCGCAGCACGGCACAGCACAGCATAGCACAGCGCAACATAGCATAGCATAGCAAAGCATAGCATAGCATAGCAGTAAAGCAAAGGCACAGCAACAACAGCGACAGCAAAGCAAAGCACAAGCAAAGCGACAACAATTCCCTACCTAGGCTCTGCCTAGAAAGGGTTCTTACTCGGTTGGCTTAAAGGGGCCGGGCAGTGGAAACCGCCCCGGGCGGTTCCCCCGGTTGCGCTCCCTGGGTGCTCAGCAAAAGCAACAGCAAAGGCAACAGTGAAGGCAAAAGCGAAGGCAAAGCAGAAACATAGCATAACAGAGCATAGCATAGCATAGCGCAGCACAGCACAGCATAGCATAGCCTAGCCTAGCCTAGCCCAGCAAAGCATTGCGCAACATAGCAGAGCAGAGCACAGCATAGCGCAGTACATCATCGCACATCATAACATAACATAGCATAGCATAGCATAGCATAGCATAGCGCAGCACGGCGTTTGCCGCTCCTACTAATGTTGCTTTCCCAGCGGCTCCAACTCTTAGGTAGGGTCGCACTGGGATAATCTTTCCACCTCGTGCACGGCGTTGCGAGTTAGACTGGCTTCCTCATTCTTCTCGTCCTTAGCCACTTCGCGTGCGCATGCGATGATGGAACCAGGAGGGCATGAGGAGGAGGAGGAGGAGGAGGAGGAGGAAGAGGATAATGAGTGAGTAGGAGAAGGATACGTGCGAAGGTGGAGGAAGAGGCGGAAGAGGAGGAGGAGGAGGAGGATGAGGAGGAGGAGGAGGAGGAAAACGAGGAGGAGGAGGAGGAGGAGGAGGAGGAATGGCCCGTGATGCGCGTGCTTTTTGACCACCTCGTGCACGGCGTTGCGATTTCGACTGACTTCCACACTCTTCTCGTCCTCAGCCACTTCGCGTGCGCATGCGATGATGGAACCAGGAGGGCATGAGGAGGAGGAGGAGGAGGAGGAGGAGGAGCCGGAGGAGGAGGACGAGGAGGAGGAGAAGGGGGAATCAACAGGATGAGTTGCCATAGAGACCAACGGGAGCAGGTGGATGATGCCGATTGATGTCAATGATGCGGAGGAGGAAGAGGAGGAGAGGGAGGAGGAGGAGGAGGAGGAGGAGGAGGAGGAGGAAGAGGAGGAGGGGGAGGAGGAGGAGGAGGAGGAGGAGGAGGGAGGAGTGAGGAGGAGGAGGAGGAGGAGAGGAGGAGGAGGAGGGCAGGAGGGGAACGCCGAGGATGCGGAAGGGGACGCCGACGAGGGGGGTTTAGAGGGGGGCGAGGAGGACGAGGAGCGAGAGGAAGCCCTCGCACCCCGGCCTGCCCGCACCCTGAAGCACGCCCGCACGGCCTCGGCGGCAGCGTGCCTCGGGCGTCTCGGGGCCGTGCGTCGGGGGCGCGCGGCCCGGGGCGATCCGGACGTGCGATCGGAAGCGCCCCCTCGGGCAGCGACGGGGGCGAGTGTCGCGGGGCCTGGGGGCCGACGAGGCCCCGAGGCGACGAGAGGTGGCCCTGAGGGCAGCGGGGGCGGGGAGGTGGCCAGGAAGAGGAGGAGCAGGAGCAGGAGGAGGAAGAGGAGGAGGAGGAGGAGGAGGAGGAGCAGCAGCAGCAGCAGCAGCAGGAGGAGCAGGAGTAGCGCGAGGAGCAGGAGAAGGAGAAAGATAACGAAGGAGGAGGAGGAGGAGGAGGAGGAGGAGGAGGTGGGGGAGGAGGAGGAGGAGGAGGAGGAGGAGCAAGAGCCACGAGGATTGAGGAGGAGGAGGAGGAGGAGGAGGTCCTCCTTTCCGCTTCCTCTGAGCCTCAGCGGGCTGCCCGTCCAGCGTTCTTCCCCCTTTACTTGCATATCTTGCGCGCACTGGTTGCATATTTTTTGTGGGTGAACGAGCGCTGCGTTCAGATCTTGATTCGTCTCGGATCGCGATGGCTGTGGACGACGCGACGGCTCACGCCAGCCTGCGCTCGTGCAGAGGAAAAGAAGGTCCTCCTCCTCCTCCTCCTCCTCCTCCTCCTCCTCCTCCTCCTCCTCTTCCTCCCGGCCATCGCTCGTCCCGCCTTCTCCCCCTCGCCCTTGGGATCCCTTCTGCGCCCGCTCGGCGTCGGACCCCGCTCGGCCGCCGAGGGGGCGGCCGAACCCTCCCCGTTGCGGCATGGCCGTGGGAGCGAGTTGTGCCAAATGTGTCGGGGGGGGCGGGAGGAGGAGGAGGAGGAGGAGGAGGAGGAGGAGGAGGAGGAGGAGGAGGAGGAGGGAGAGGAGGAGGAGGAGGAGGAGGAGGAGAGGAGTGGAGAGGAGGAGGAGGGGAGAGAGAGGAGGAGGAGGAGGAGAGGAGAGGAGAGGAGGAGGAGAGGAGGAGGAAGGATGGAGGAGGAGGAGAGGAGGAGGAGGAGGAGGAGAGCCGGAGGAGGATGAAGGAGGAGGGAGGAGGGGGGGGGGGGGGGGAGCGCCAGGAACCGAGCCTGGCCGGAGGGGGGGGGTGGGGGGGGTCGGGAGCGCGACGTCTGCTCTGTGCTCGCGCGCGGCGCGGGCCTTGGCTGTCGGTGGGTGACCTGGCGGCGGACAGGGGGGAGGAGGATACGGACCGGATCTCATGCTCTCCGCTCATTGCCGGGGCACACGTGATGTAAGACCCAAGGCTTGCCTGTCTGGAATAGAGCTAGCCGAGCGGATCTCCGGCCATTGACATGATTGCATAGGTACCTTGTTTGTGCATATCTCGTTGTCTACAGCCCTGCCAGGTGTTATGAGAAGAACGAGTATCTCGTGGGCCCACGCCATTTTGCCGCCTGTGTATCGCCCGGGTAGGCAGCAGGACATCGAGTGTCCCGTTCGCAGGATTTCTTCCACTACAAGAGCTAGTATCACACACTCACCCCTGGGAGGTATCGAGGACCTGGCTATCAGTCGGCGCTCCCTTCTAAGACGCCCCCCTTGCTTTCTCGGAAGGCTGCGCCCCGCCTTCTCATCTTCCTCTTCCCCATCTTGCCTGCTTCTCCCCCTCCTGTCTCTCTCTCTCTCTCTCTCTCTCTCTTTTTTTCTCTCTCTCTCTCTCTCTCTCTCTTTCTCTCTCTCTCTCTCTCTTTCGTTGTGCACGTATCATCAGCATGGACCCATAACACATGAATGTAGATTCCGTCTCCTCCTCCTTCTCCTCTTTCTTCTCTTGCTCCTCCTCCTGCTCCTCCTCCCCCTTGTGCTGCTGACCTGAAAAGTTTTCAGGTCAGCAGCATCGCTGCGCTGCACCAGGGCAAAACACCCCATGAAACAAAAACAGTCAGTGCTCCATATGCGCCAACTTGTTGCATGCTTGAAGCGAGCGTGCGCGGCGCCGAAGCAATAGCCCCATTCTGACCACGGCCCGCCTCGTCATTCCAGCGGAGACCCATGCCAAGAAACACCTTGCTTGCCTCCAGGGTGCCCTGGGTTTCTTGGGTTTCTATGGTTTTGCTATGGAAAGCGTGACGTCCCCACACCAAAAAACAATGGACGTCATGGGGTCTTAGGGTTGGGTTTCTCGTGGAAGGTTTCTTGTGGTCGGGCCCCCACTGTAACTGTTGTACATGCTGAGGGCGAGTGTGCACGGCGCCAAGGCGATCGCCTTTTTTGACAACGGCCAGTGCTCCATCCGAAGATCAGTATCATTTAACCGATCCCTATCCCCATCCCCATCCACATCTCGAGCCCCACCGTCTCACCACCGTATTTGGGGATATGCCCCTCGAAACCCGAAGAACGCAACCTACTTCCCCATCCAGGGGGGTAAGTCGGCCCCTGGGGCCCAGCCCACGCTGGTGGGGATGCGGATCGGTCAAACGATGCTCAGAAGAGCCGAGGAACATGCCATGCTTCGATGCCGTGCACTGCGAGGATGCTTCGTGCGGAACGCCCTGCCCGCCCTAGCGACACGTCCAGTGGCGCGACAGGGAGGAGCGCGATCTGCAGGGAACGGGACTGAGGAGCAGGAGGATAAGAGAGGGAGGCCTTGCGCGCTGGCGTCATCCCCGCAGCAGGGGGTCGGCGGGTTGGGCAGCCTGCAAGGACGTGCGTCGGCGCGGCGCGAAGGGGAACTTCGCGCGGCCCGAAACGAGCCGAAGATTGTGGAGGAGGAGGAGGAGGAGGAGGAGGAGGAGGAGGAGGAGGAGGAGGAGCAGCAGATGCAGGAGGACGACGAGGACAACGACCAGGGATGGAGGAGGGAAGGGGTGGGGGTAACCGCTAAGGGTCTTTAGTTATGGTCACCCCCTTAATTTTTGGCGGTGAGCAGGACTGGTCCTAAAACCTCCTCCTCCTCCTCCTCCTTCTCCTCTTCCTTCTCCCTCTCCTCCTCTTCCTCCTCCTCAACCCTCCTCCTACGCTTCCTCCTCCTCCTCCTCGTAGTCGTAGCTGTCGTCTTCGTTGTTGCGCGGCGGGTGCCGCGTGCAAACATATGTAATGACCTCCTATTGGTGGGACCCCAGTCCTTCAACACGGCCGCCGAACAATTAATTTGTTACCCACTAATGTGGGGGTTCTAAAGACTTTTCAGGGTTAGTGGAGGAGCATGGAAGAAGGCGACGAGGAGGGCGAGGAGAGGGCGAATGGGATGAGGAGGGTCATGATGGAGGAGAACGGGGAGGCAGAGGGGGGGAGGATTGCCAAGAGGAGAAGGAGGAGAAGAAGGCGGAGTGGGGCGAGGTGGAGGAGGACGAGGTGGATGGGAGGAGGACGGTCAGGAAGAAGGGGGTCGGGGGGGATGAGAGGGAGGAGGAGGAGGAGGAGGAGGCGGAGGCGGTCAGGATGATGTGGCGGAGGTCGAGGGGCGTTTCTGGTCTGGCGCCCCCTTTGCAGAATGCTTGGAAAGGCGTTCTTGGCCGCGGGGTTTGACGCTGTCTGTGATCACTTTCAGCCGTTCTAGCTAGCAAGCAAAGGACTTCCGCGCCGGTGCGGGCGACGATGTCGATGATGACGAGTAGGACGGCAACGACCAGGACAACGATGGAAGTTCTGGCCATGATGGGGATGCCGACAACGACAGGACGGGGAGTTTGACGACGACAGGGACCATCATTGCAATGATGAACATGAAGACGATGACCATGGCGATCTGTTTTAGCTGCGGCGCGGCGCCAAGGCCCGCGGCCCGTGCGCCGCATGAAAGGTGGGATGCTCTGCATCCCAGGTAAGGACATACATGATGGAAGTGTCATCGCCTGGACGCTTCGCTTTGTCTTGTCCTGTGTGCTCACGCGTCTCTGGATCAGTTCTCCGACTCCTCCTCTTCCTTCTCCAACCGTCACACGGCTCGCGGAGTGTATGTGCTTTGGGACTCCTGGATCCTGGGCCATTTTGGGCGCCTTCCTGCTCCAAGGACGAAGCGGTTTCCTCTTCTGCCCTTTTCAGGGGATGGGCGGGACCCGATTTCTCCCTACATGCCTCTACCTTCTGGCTCCAAGCCATGGGGAATCAGTGCTGATCCCTTGGCTTGATGATGAGGAAGCTCTCTGCCCTCCCCGCCCACAGCCGCGCCAGGAGGCGTGCGTGCCAGGCTCGACGGACCCCGAGGACGACGCCGAGCACCGAATGCCCTGGAGCTGCAAGAAGCTCGGGGACCTCGGGGAGGGCGCCCCCCCCCTCCTTTTCCTCCTCCTCCTCCTCCTCCCATGGCTCCTTCCTCCTCCTCCTCCTCTTCCTCCTCCTCATCCTCCTCCTCCTCATCATCATCATCGTCATCATCATCATCATCAGCAGCAGCATCATCATCATTCTTCTCCTCCTCATTCTCCTCCTCCTCCTCGCTCGCTCCTCCTCGCTCGCTCCTCCTCGCGCCTCCTCCTCCCCCTCTTTCCACCTCTCCTCCTCCCCCGTCCGTCCTTCCCACTCGTTCTCCTCCTCCTCCTCCTCCTCCTCCTCCTCCTCCTCCTCCTCCTCCTCATCCCGCCTCCCGCCGCGGTGCTGGGCCCCATGAGTCCCGGCCCTTTCTCAGGGCCTGTTTTCCATCTGGGGCAGTGTTCTGACAGCCCTGAAGCCCGGTGAAGGCCCCCAGAGGCCAACAACGGTCTTACCAACCGAACATGTCTGCAGGGTGGTACCGTTGAAGGACAGCACTTTGCAGCACACTTTACGTCATCGGCGAGGCAGGGCTGCACCAGCGAGCAGCAATCCGGGGCAACCGATACGCGAAGTGGCCGGCGTGCAAGAGGGGGAGCAAGACAGACTGACAGCCGCGAAGGACAGAGGGAGGCAACATTTTGCAACACACGTTAGGGGCCCACTTTTCCCTTTGCCTCCTTTCTGCTCTCCAATGCCCGACTCCTCTTGCTTCCACACTTTGGACCAGAGGCGTCCACAGTGTTTGCAATTCGACATCTGGAGAGTGTTCTCCCCACAGCCACATGCCTCACACTTCCCGTAGACCATCCTTGCGTCAAAGGTATCCCACCATGGGGCGAGAGGGCAGCCGAGGCAATCCTGTGCGCCAGCAGGAGCTCAACACCGAACGCCACCTGGGACCCTGACAGGGGCTGCCCCACAAGTGACAAGCACATGTCGAAAAGCTCTCAAGCCTGCCGCACGGCTGCGGACAAGCTCGAAACCTCGCGGCAAGGTTTCGAACTTGAGCCAAAATGGCTATACGGACTCCCTCCCTCCCCCCCTCCCCCCTCCCTCTCTCCCCCCCCTCCCCCTCGCACCTCCCCGTCCTCCGCCTCATCCTCCCTCCCGCTTCTGGCGGGGGCGGGGGCGCCTCCCCCCGCCAGGACCGCACCCCGAGCGCCGGGAGCAGCGCGTCGCCGCCGTCCACCTCCGCGGCATCGGGCTCCCACCGGGCGCGGGGGCGGCCGTCGCCGCGGGCAGAGCGCTCCCCCATCTCCTCCTCCTCCTCCTCCTCCTCCTCCCCCTCCTCCTCCTCCCCTCCTCCTCCTCCTCCTCCCCTCTCCTCCTCCTCCTCCTCCACCTCCCTCCTACATCTCCTCCTCCTCCTCCTCCTCCCCTCCTCCTCCTCCTCCTCCTACCTGCTTCCCTTCTCCTCCTCCTCCTCCGCCTCCTCCTCCTCCTCATTGGCAATCGCTCGGACGTGCCGCATTGTTTCCCAACTCTAGGCCTCCCAGATATTCGAGTAAATTAGATGGTAGAGGATCGTGCCACATCGCCGATGCACGGCGATCAGGCTCGATGCGGAGCCCGATTTGCTTTCTCGCAGATGTCGCCGATGCATCCGCCAGCGTCTCTGTGCATCGCCAATGCCATCGCCGATTCACCGGCGATGCATCGGCGATGCACCGGCGATGCGGCGCGATCCTCCGACCCCATCTACTCCGACCCCATCTAGGAGGCCTAGATTGGAAAAAAGGCAAACGTCCGAGCGATGCCGGAGGAGGACGAGGACGAGGACGAGGAGGAGGAGGAGGAGGAGGAGGAGGAGGAGGAGGAGGAGGAGGAGGAGGAGGAGGAGGAGGAGGAAGGAGGGAGGGAGGGAGGGAGGGAGGGAGGGAGGCTGTCCTCGGCAGGGACCATCGAGGAGCATCTTGGGCCGTCTTGCGAAGAGTGCACGCGCGCCAACGAAGACGGCACAGGGGAGTGGACGGCCGAGCGATGGCGAGCCCCCCCCCCCGATGAGGGCTTTGAGCGAGCCGCGTGCCTTGTCCCCACGGTTTAGAGAGAGAGAGAGGGCCTTGATCGCAGCTCCCGAGACATCGCCCCGAGGTGCTGGGCTCAGTCGGGCCTGTCATCCTTGCGTCGTGATTGTAGGAAAGCCGGACATCCCATTGCC